CCGATAGTTGTTCGTCTTAATAACCTGATCCTGTATCGCACAGACGAAACCTTCGGTTTCCCCCAAGAGGTCACCGAAACGTAGCCAGTTAAGTGAGGCAACAGTATCTACGAAAGGCTCGTGTAGAGCCTTGTAGAACCTCCCGTGGAGCTCTTTCTCCTTCCATACGGTCTCTCGGTCGGAAACGCTCAGTATTCCCGGGTCCTGCCATTGCTCGTTGGCTAAGGATAGAGGGGTAAGTCCTGTATCACAACTAATGACGTCCGTGTAGATTGACTCATCCGATCTCGCCAGAAAGTAGTTACGGAGGCTGCACACCTCGCGATTGTGCATGGTGAGGGCGCTTAAAAAGCCATGCTTCCGCGGCAGGTACAGCCTCATCACTGACGATCTCGGATGATGCATTCTGTGGGACGTCATAGTTGTGCGGACTTTTCGATCCAGGGCGTTGAGCTCAGTTTGAGTCCACCTGAGTATGCCAAAGGTATACATGAGGACTGGCATGACTCAGCCGTTAAATGCGCGTGCCTTGTTCACGCCTGACAAATGGCTGTTAAACACCTTTGTCAGGCGTGCAAAAAAACACGTCACGAACTGACTGTTTCATGGCAGCCTCATCGATACACATGTTTTGTGACATACCCAGGTATCGGTATGTTTCAGCCTCAGAGAGGGTCGTTATGTTAACGGGCATAGATAAGTCTATGCCCTCCGTATTAGCGACCTTACCCCTTTTGACATGGAGGACCGCGCACTTATCCGTCCCAAACTCCATTTTGATAGAATTGCTGAAATCACAAGTGACTTTAAGCAATTCCATCAAATGGGAGCGATTGGAGGCGAATAATTTGAGGTCATCCATGTAGAAAAGGTGGGTCACTTTTGTCCCTCTCTCCGAAGCTGAAATCCTCCCCCCGAGCCCTCCAGTAACACGCTGAGAGGGTTCAGGGAGAGGCAAAACCATATTGGGCTCAAACAGTCGCCCTGGAAAATACCCCGTCGTATCCTTATCCGGTATTCCGCAGCCGTCATCCGCTCGCCTAGATGACAAAGGATCGTACTCCATTGCCCCATACAATGCCCGAGGAAGTCTCTTACTGTACAGTCTACTTTGTACAGTTCGAGGACCCTCTTTAGCCATGTATGGGGCACCGAGTCGAATGCCTTTTTGTAGTCTATCCAGGCGGCGGAGAAGTTCCGACGGTTGCGTTTAACCATTTTGCCAATGACCGCGTCGATGAGAAGCGGTTCCTTGGTTCCACAACCGCCGCCCCGACATCCATTCTGAGCACGAGACATATTATTATTATTAACTACAATATTATTATAATTATTATTATTATTAACTACAATATTTATTTATTTTCATATTCATAAAATTCATTTATTTAAATTTAATACGTATGGAATAATAGTAATGCATAAGGAATAATAGTAATACGTAAAAAATAGCTAAAATTCTATAATTATAATGATTACATACAAAGCCTTGAAGTTGAAGAAAAATTATTAAAGTACTTTATGTATCGCAAAACATGATATTACGGTGGTAGGGCCACGCAGCAGCCACGGCTGTTGCACGAATGGGCAGGCCCGTCCGGGTAAGTACCACGACCTCACAGAAGACCAGCGTAAAGTGGAAGTATGACAAATACTTTCGCGTTTCGTCTGGTGAGTGAGGTAGCCCGAGCCCAATTTTCAAAAGGTTGTCAACGCATCAAAATCAAAATCAAAATCATTTATTCATCGACATAAGAAACTTACATTTCATTTATCAATAGTCATATTTTTTTTAAATCTACCACCGTTTCGTAATGAGGTTCCTCTAGCGGAGAAGAAACAGGCGAAAGAAACTCCGTAGGTATCCTCTTTTTTGTAATTATTTTTTTTTTTTTCTTAACAAAAAATTCAAAAATTATAGAACTGATTTTTTTCCTTTTAGAAATAGCTTGGGAGCGATCAACTCATTCCCAGGGGTTATTGTCATTAATGTATTCATTTGTATTATAATAACCCTTTTTATAAAGTTTTTCTTTAATAAATTTCTTAAACCTGTTAATAGGCAGGTTTTGCGCATTTACTGGGATTTTGTTGTAAAAGCGTATACACCGCCCCATGAACGAGTTACTTACTCTATGGAGTCTAGTAACTGGCATTACAAGCTTGTGTTTGTTCCTAGTGTTCACATTATGTATATCAGTATTCTTATCAAAATTATTAATATTTCTACGCACATACATAACATTTTCATATATATATTGAGAGGCTAAGGTTAATATATTTATTTCTTTAAACTTCTCTCTCAAAGATGCATTCAGATCTAGATTATAAATAGCTCTTATGGCCCTTTTTTGGAAAATAAAAATTGTTTCTATATCGGCCGCGTGCCCCCATAGCAAAATACCATATGACATTATGCTATGGAAGTAACTAAAATACACAATTCTAGCCGTTTTTACATCAGTTAGACATCTTATTTTCCTTATAGCATACGCTGCAGAACTTAGTCTATTCGCAAGTTTGGATATATGGGGACCCCATTGAAGCTTTACATCGAAAGTTATTCCAAGAAAGACAGTCGTATCCACAAGGCCTAACTCCCCCCCATTTATAAGTACATTGGTAGCACCCAAATGTTTAACATTAGGTGTTGAAAATTTCATACATTTAGGTTTATTACCATTTAATAGTAAATTGTTAGTATTAAACCAATAGACTATTTCTGACATAGCATTATTTACCTCGTCAAGTGTAACAAGCTGTCGATTGATTTTAAAAATTAATGATGTATCATCGGCAAATAAAACTATATCGTGTTTACTCCCTACAAAGTAAGGAAGATCATTAATGTAAATGAGAAAGAGAAATGGGCCGAGAATCGAGCCCTGCGGAACGCCCATAGATACCGTCGACCCAGAAGAACTAGCACCATTAATTACAACTTTTTGAATTCTATTAGATAGATATGACTTAATGAGGTCAAGCGCGGTACTTTTAATGCCATAATGGCGCAATTTCCTGATCAGTGTTTCATGATTCACGCAATCGAAAGCCTTGGAAAGATCACAAAAGACACCCAGAGCATCCTGTGAACTCTCCCAAGCCTCAAATATATGTTTGATCAGCTCTCAGCTCTACACCAGCATCGGTTGTAGAATGACCCCTTGTAAAACCAAACTGGTTGTGATGTAATAATTTATTTAAGTTAAAATGTGTTAACAGCTGATCTAGAAGAAGTTTTTCGAAAATTTTACTACCCTCGGGTGTAGCAGATGTGAACCGTCTGCTCGTTTGGCAACTTTTCACATAAAAAAAATGAACTTATATAATATACATATGAATTAAAATAGAGTTAAAGTAAAAGCAAAACGAGTGTATCCCTGAATGGCCCTTTTGATTTCAAATAAAACCATACTAGAAAGTATTTTTTTAGTTCAAAATTAACTTTTTTTTAATACTGTAGGGTATGGTTGTCTCACGGGTTGGTTGTCACAGTGGTCATAACAGAAGCGTTATCGAACGAATACGAAAGTTGATCGGCGTCAAAGAATCGCGAAGGCATCACCTCCCTCCCCAAGTCACTTTGGTTCGCTCCGAAACGCCGTGACGGAGAAACGTGCGTTTGTTTTTTTTTTCACACCGAAAGTAATTTTTTGTTGAGAAGTACGAAGAGAAACCTTCTCTGTTTTAGCCATCAGTTTTAATCCACAAAATGTCAACAGTTTTTTTTTGAAACTTGAAACATGACTGGACTTTCACTGATTCACTGGCAGATAGCTGATGTCATAAGGAGTAACTTACGCTACTTTTATTTTAGAAATTTTATTAATTTTAAATTGCACGTGGACGATGTCGCGGGGCACAGCTAGTACTGAATAAATTTAATTCTACACAAACACATTGTTTCATAGATTTGTTTTGATCAAAAAAAATTAAAGTTAATTTAAGTATATTTTCTATTCAAAACAACCAATTTTGAATTTTGATTTAAAAATATAGTCAAATTATAATAAATCCTTAATTCAAAACTAAAATATTCCAAAAAGTAATTAGTAACTCAGGCTAATTTTCGAAATATGATGAATTCACTTGCACAAAAGAAAAGTGTTTTGAGTTCGACGCGCGACGCAATTGCCAATATGGCAGTTTAGCTATTTCGCGCGTTCAAAATAAAAATTCAAATGAAAGAAACCATAAAATGCAAAATCAAAGGGTTTTTTTTTCTTATATAAAAATATGAAGGATTACGATTGTTTTTTTTGCAGTGAATGCATTTTTGAAACATTTTTTTGAAGTTATACTTCTTGAAATTTTAAGATGTAACACAAAAGTCACACCTTTGAAGCTGCCTTCTAATTTTTATAGATGGCAGCATATTCTCAATCACATTCGCTCGTTACAGTTCTCATAAAATAATTTCTTCTGCTTTCATAATTTTGCACTACTTTTCAACATTTGTATGCATAAATATAGTATATATAAAGTCGAGTTCACTGTTATGCCAAGGTCAGTTTTTGAAACGATGTTTTAAATTCATTATTCAACTTGTTTTTCTTTTGTTACTGTTGAAAATATGATTTTGTACCTTGTGACATTGCTATTGTTTTAGTTGCTCTGTGACTGCATAAACAAAACTCTCTACTCTGTGTAATTGGTCAAGATGGTGTAGTTATGATTTGAAGATGATTAAGTTGAGTATTGTAATTAAGTAGTATCATGTGAAACCTAGTATAAAGTGTTAAATGATCTAAGTTAAACAGAATAAACCAATCATGAAAGCAGAGCTGCATATTTATTTTGATCCACGGAAACACATTTTCTAACAGTTATACCCAAAATAACTTTTTACGTACATACACATTTTTTTATTTGTGGTAGTTTTGAATTGAAGCAGCAACATGACAACCCCGTCTACCAGGCCGTTTTTGACATAATTCGTCGTATTGTTATTGTTATTTTATTAACGAGCCTTCATACGGCGGGGTTTCATACAATAAAGTATGCAAGGTAGATGGCGCCAAACATTGCTAAAAATGCAATAAAGAACGTACATAGTATTCAAACTTTCATTTTGATTATCGCAAAATTAATTTCAGGTTTCAGTGAATTTATTATTTTTGTAAATATTCCTTTCTTATAAATCATTAACTCTCGTTTATTAATTGTTTGCGTGATTTGATTTTTTGTATCCGATCGTTCGACTTATTATATCGTAATTTCAACCTTTTCGTCTATATAGGTTCCACTGTCGATGGTAGTTCCAACCAACAATAGCGTCGTTCCCCGTCTCTATATACAAATTGTCCATATTTCATTTACAAAAGAAAATGGAAATGCAGTGGAACGGACAGCGTCATCGTGTCGTCATCGCGCAACAGTTACGTTTACGTTGTTTGTCATCAGTCCGCGAATCGTTAGCGTTACTTTTCCAAATAAGCTGTCAAAGCCGCCGGATTAACAGCAACGACACCTAAAAAATTAAAATATGCGTTATAAGCTTATTTTAGTGAAATGATGACATTATAGTATTGAACGGTAAGAATTTGAAAGAATTAATTTTATATTTTTTGAGCTTTTTAAGGAATTTGTTACGTTTATGTTTTTTATATTTAAAAATCCTTTCTATCGAGCGAGTTTCAATTTCAATACCTTTTAATAAAGTAACGTAACATCCGAACATGGCGACAATATTGGCAATTGACTTGTCTATGCTGTTGCTCGCTGACAAAATATGGCTATTCTATTGGCTAAAAGAATTAAGTTGAAAATGGCGCGTGTTTTGTCACATCCTGTTATGTGTTGGTGAGTGCATGGCCTCGACGTTGATCTCGTTCCAAGACTTTTATTCCGTAACACCGCAGTCTTTTCACATGTGTAATAATATTACTATATAATATTTCGTGATGGTGTCCTGCAAAAGGCCATGGATTTGATGAAAACGGTAAGAGTAACATAGTTGCAGCATATTTCGTTTAATTTTGTTTGGCTTTTGTTTCTTGTTTTGGTGATTTTGAAACTGGCCATTATATTAGAAAAAATATCTCTTTCCAGAATGTGTGTGCACGAGGGAGGTAAGTCTAATAGTTTTTATTAAATAGATGGTGTCCAGTTTCGGGTTTGCACAATAAGAGTTGAAGTTTGTTCATTTGTCAATAAATGGCACCCGGCAACCGAGCGTTGTTACGCCATCTTATAGTCCTCCAAATGTTCCGCACATTTTGCAGCTTTAAATTTTTAGAAGGAAATACTAGATGCTGAAAAATATGCTTTAATCAAAAGGAATTGAAAAGGAAGTCAAATTTATAAACATTGGCTCTAGGTATGTGTATTTAACTATTGCATCGTATTACATGACTTGACAAACCACATGTGCATAGATGGATTTGTTGTTATTTAGTCGGCACCGACTAAGTTGCATAATATATTTCTGCACGCTATTCGTTAAGCAGGGAGTATAGTATCGACGTGTCGTTCACTTGGTTACGATTTACATGAAAATGACTCCCTATAATATTATAACCTATAAATTTGACAAGCTGGAATGAAGTCCAATGTTCATGGATGACACTTCAGTACATATTGCAACTAATTTCAAGGTTACGTGATCATTTAAGTAAAAAAGAGCAATTTCATTTTACTCTAATGACTATAATATATTAGTTATTTTATTTCTATATTGCCTACATACAATTTGTAATATTTCATTGAATTTTAAATTTGAATCTTTTAAACTGCTAAAAGAATTGTATAATTAGTGCCTTATTTTATAATTTTGGTACATTAAAAAATTATAATATACATAATAGCCAGTGTTTTCAGTGGCATCCTTTTCAGTTTTTAATAATAGGCCTTGACTATGGCTGCTGACCTTTTTTAACAGATGGGCTAACTGCATAATTTACACATCTTCAGTAGACCACTTCCTATTTAAGTTACTTTAGGGACATGTAAAAAAAAGCATAAAACAGAAAGCACCTTATAAGAGAAAGAACCTGAACTGTTTACAGAAATCTTAAAAAAAGCTTAACATTGTTATTGATACAATTACGCCCGGTTTCTGAAACACATCATCATAGATGTCAACTAATCAGCTGTCAAATGGATTTTAAATTTAATTTTAGTTGCCAAAAGTATGTTTAAACTCTGAATTGACTAGAATGATCAAACTGATCAATTCAAAGTGTTTAACCATCCTTTTGGCAAATCAAATGATATTTGGAAAGACATTTGATAGCTGATTAGTTAACATCTATGATGATCAGTGTTTCAGGAACTGGGTGTAAGTGTGATTTCTAACTTTTTTCTGTTTGTATATAATATACAGCGTGTCGTTACCATCGCGAAAATAAATGAACACACGTCTAACACTACTTGCCAATAATCATTAAAAAAATATTAACGTTAAACAAAATCCATAATTAAAAAAATATATTTTTCAAACAAATTAAGTAAAAAAGAAACAAAATTTGTAACATCCCTATACAACTCGCGCCACAGCGTCGTATTACAAGTCTCTCCTTCTAACAGTATGTTTTGTCTCTTTTAAATTCATTCATCCCATTCATATGCTTTGTGACCTTTACAAATGAACTTTACGTTACGCTTTTATAGGTAAGGGTGTTCTAAAATTCTGTGTTTTGGAAAATTTAATAACTCCGTAAATATTCTTATTCTTAAAAATAACTTTAAAAAGTTATTACCTATATGTGTGTTAATTTATTGTCGCGATGGTAACAACACACTGTATAATACCTAATATATAATATATAATACCTTACTTATACAGTAAGTGACAAATATGTTTTTCAGGAAGACAAGTGATATTTATTTTTTGCATAATCAAGATTTGAAAAACCTTTTTGCAAACATCTGTTTATTTGAAACTGCTTAAGAAACATAAACTATAATGCTAAATAAGTTATTGTGGTTAATCTTTCTGTGGTACCAATTTATTTATGATATTTACTCATTCTTCACATGGCACATGCACATGTAAGGAATATAAAAAAATTCCCCAATTTTCACAGGGACATATGGTTGAGTGTAGCTTGACCTTAGGTGATGGCATAATTTTCTAATAGTTAATATTTGTTAACATATTACCTTGTTAACTGTTAACAATAATAAAATTCAAATATCTTTATTCAATATAGAAGCATTATACTTACTGTTGATTATCAAAATACTGTTACCGATTCAGAAAATAAAAGCCACTGACTTGAGAAGAACTGGCTAAAGAAAATCAACTGCACAGTTTACAATTATTTGACAAAATATGTACGGTTAAAATTTGTAGAAAAAAATTGTTTACTATATAGACAGGTTGGCTTTTCTAAGCGTGTCCATTTTTTTTTTTTTTAAATTAAATTCTAGACATAAATAATGTCATATATATGATAAATATTTAAAATCATTCTTAAGTAATTAATTACATTAATTTGAACTTCTCAAAAAGTGTGTAATTTATATGCGACTCATTTATTTTAAATGCGATCATTCATAACTAACACGCGCACAAGTACGTGCACAGTAAAATTTAGGTATTTATGAATGACTACTGCATTGTCGACACATTCTGGTTTTTAGTTAATAGGATGGCATTTTTTTTTGGCAAAAAAACTAAAACAATTATACTACCGAGTCTGAACCTCCTGTGTAAATTTGGGCACTTCTCAAAAAATCTCCCTGTGTAGTCTACTTGAAAGAGTCTGGAGCAGTTAATACACTTAGAAACTGGGTTATCATTTAAATAATTACTAAAATTATAATGATAACCTTTAACATCCAAATGTCTATTTCACATTTTTTTTAATCTGGCAACTGATAGATTTTGAATAATTTCTAGAATTTTGTTGTAAAAATGTGTATTAATTTTCTGATTAAAGATTTACTTCCTTAGTCAACATTTTCTTTGTTAACTGGTTTTTAAACTTTATGTTGCCAATAACCAACATCACTGCTATGTATAGGATTGAACTTTTCCTGTAGTCTAATGTGACCACTTAAATAGTTATTAATAATTATAAGTTCTTAGTTCAAGGTCTAGTTGTTATAAAATAAAAAATGTTTTTTTTTTGTTCCTTATTTTTGGAGACTAAGACCGGAAGAAAGTGATATTGACTATGTAATTGCTAAGTAATCACTACTTAGCTATTGCAATATATTTGTAAATTTTTAATGTGTATATTAAGAGCTAACCTAGATGGTCTAGTATAAAACTAATTCTGGTGAAGGAGTCAAAAACTATTACCTGCCTATTTATATGTATGTATGTATAAATATAAATTAAATGAGATTTTTGAGAAGCCGAAGTCCTCACTTGTTATAAGGGCTTTGCTAAAGTGTAATGGCATTTTTCAGGAATATGAGTTCCTAGACTTGTCAGATGTGAAAGAAGCAGAGCTGAGCAGTCTGCAGTGTGCACTGTTCGAGAGGAAGCCAGACAATTCTGTGACCACAACCACCACATTGAGTTGGAAAGAGCCCGCAACAGGTATGATACTTAAGTTTTATGTAAAGTCTACCAAAAACTCAAATGGATGAAATCTCAATATCCTTTTTTTCAACATACAAAATGAAAGTGAAACCAGCCATGGAAAAGTAAAAATTATTTATAAATGGATATGTTCAGAAAGATATCTTTAATCTTAACCATATAATTTGGTCTGAATCCACAAAAGTGCATTTATTCACTCCCTATTAATATTTTGTTACAAATTTGAAGTAACATATTTAATTGTATTTTTATATGCATGTCATATTGTCTAAAAATTACTGGTGCCTTTCATTATTAATGTCAAACACTATTTTATATAATATCTTATACCATAACATGTATGTATATGTTTATAAAATAACTGGATGTTACTATTGTGGTGGGGGCCATGCAACAGCTGTTGCACAAATGGGTTGGTCTGTTCGAGTTAGAAGACAAGCGTGAAGTAGAAGTGTTTTACTTCTGCGTTTCATCATTTGCGTGAGGTAGCCAGGGCCCACCTTATTAGACAACGCATCTGCCACTGTACGGGAGCTGTAAATGCCAATAAGCAGCGGTTATCATTTAACAGGTCTAGCGCAAGCTCGCTTGGAACATTCTCACGTAAAAAAGTATGTGTGTTTTATGTACGCAAAAGTATTATGTACGCAGCGTAAAAAGTTATACTTCTTTAGTGTAAGACATTAAATGCAATTGATAATGGTTTATTTAAATGATTTGGAATTGTTGGCAAATGTCAAAAAGTTTTTATTAATTGCCTGGCAACAAATTTCATCATGTTGCAATTTAAGAGTTGGTGTATTTGTTACTTCTAAGTATTCATTTGAGCTGTTGTAATAAAACCTACCTACTTCAAAATATGTTTCTGAAATGAAGAAACAATCAAACTTAGAAATTATGTATAACAATTATAACAAAGAAGAATACTTGTGTAAAACTGGAACTTTGTGTTGACTTTAACAATGTCTTTAAAAAGGGAATGCTAGTAATATAAAAAAGAAATATAATTTAAAGTAGAAGCAATGGTAGTGTAGATGTAACATTCGCGTTCTCTGATCAGATTTTTCATCGTGTTCATCAAGCACAGCGGGCCCACCGACCGTGTCGAGCAGCCTGGACAGCCTGTCGGGCGGCGAGTGCGAGATGGCGCCCCACTCGCCGCAGCGGGGCGCGACCGGCCCGCCGCCGCACGCTCAGCCGCACGCCCCGCCGCCGCCCTACGTGCAGCCGCCGCCCACCTACCCGCCACCGCCGCAGTGGCCCGTGGCGCCGCCCAACGTGTACGTCAGCCAGGTCACGGCCAACGTGAACGTGCACGGCTACATGGGCCAGTACTACCAGCCACCGCAGCACCAGTACGTGCCGCCGCCGCCGCAGGTGGAGCGGCCGCCGCGCAACCCCAGGCGCGACAGGCGCGGCAAACGGCCCCAGTCGCCACCGCCCCAGCCGCCTCCGTACTACGTTCAGTATCCGCAATATTACCCCGCGGCGCAAGCGCAAGGCGCGCCCTTATACCATCTGCCAATGTACCAGCCGCTCGTCTACGGCCCGTACGCTTATCCGCCGTACTATCCGGAATACCAGATACCGGTTGAAGGCGACGGTATCGATAAGGGCCCGGATGAATATCAGCAGGAAGTTATAATGGAACAGGAAGCCGTGGACGCTTACTACGCTAGCGCACATTATGCAGGTCCGGCCTATGGTCCGCCAGTGGACGGCGGCGTGGAATACATGCCACCAATGTACTTACCGCCGCCACCTCATCCTGGACCGATTCCAATACAACCGCAACTCCCACACCAATCGACGCCCCATCAGTTTAATGTGCATGCTAAGAATTTCGTTCAAGGCCAGAACCACACCAAAAACTACGCGACTCTCGACAAGGGTGATAAAAATGTTCCAGCCACGGCATCGGCCACCAATGCTTCTGGAGGATCGGTCGAATCACTAGCTATTAAAGATCTTAAAATCGCTAATAAGGATCCAACTAGTCCCAAACAATCAGATCGCCCAAGCGAAAATCAGTCAAAAGCTTTAATGTCTAATGACAAAGTTGCAACAACAGCCAAATTAGATCCTACAAAAACTGCGTGTTCGCTAAATGAAAACAAACTTACAGATATTAATAGTCTAGCTCAAAATGTAAATAAGAATTATCTCCCTGCCGCTTCAAATGGTCAACCTAACAATAAATCACTACCTGCCATTGGAAAAAGTGCCAAAGGGCCAGCGGCGCCATTTTCCGGGGGAAAACCACCTCAAAAGCCATTAGTTCCGCAGACAGCAGTACCAGTACAATCTGTTTCCACTCCAAAGCCGCCATTTGGAAACAGGCAGAAGAGAGAAGGAACAAATCGCTCTCCATCCAGTGATAACATTGAAGGCGACAAATTAATGGAGCATCAAAAGCGCGAACCACCACTGCCGCCGAGCAAAGCACCAATGCCAATATCTATTACTCTGCATTCTCAAGGACCTCCAGTTATTGTGACCAATAAGTCGCCTTTTGGGCACTCAAGAAAAATTGTACCTATCCCCGAACCGCCCCCAGTGCCGCAGCCACCGCCGCCAGCGCCGACAGCTTCAGATTTCCCACCTCCTCCGACCCCTAGAAATAGGGGTGAGCCAGCACCAGCCCCAGTGGTTCAACCAAATCCACCACCTGCTCCTGGAAAATCGTGGGCTAGCCTTTTCTCCAATAAACCATCAAACATTTCTGCTTCTCCACCTACTACAGTCCCACTTGAGGAACCATCGAGCCCTACGTCAACAACGCCACCTATATCATCTAACTTACAAAAACCGGTAGCCAAAGTTCCTCCATATGATGCTTCACCACTCCAGACCACTATTGTTGATAAAGCTTTACCTGCACCAAGGCCAGTGACAACTATAGCATCTGTGTCGTATTCGGAAAAGACGTCGGTCAATGCAGTTAGCAATGTTACCAGCTCATCATCAGCCTCAGTGAAAATCACGACCACTCCTGCGGCTACTGAAGCCCAAGTACCAATTCAGAAAGACACCTCTCCTGCTTTGCCTGTTCAACACTCGCCATTCAGTGATGATCCGAATTCGTATAGAATGGGAGGTAAATATGACATAAATTCAATTTTATTTTACGTTAATTGAACAAAGTTTTAAAATGAAAAGTACATTTTCATTATTTTTCAGAATTTCTGACGAAGTACCAACTAGACAACAAGCCTGTCTCCCTTCTCCCCCGTGGTCTCACTAACCGATCCAACTACTGCTATGTGAATGCCATTTTGCAAGCATTAATTGCGTGTCCCCCATTTTACAACATGCTGAAAGCTCTTCCTTACCAGACACGCCGTGGAAAATCAAGCACACCAGTTATTGACTCTATGTAAGTGAAATTAAAAATTCAAGGCATGCAGATAACATGGAATATGAGATCAAAATAATGTTTCTTATTAAGGATTTTGGCCAATTTCTTGTTTGTGCAAGCAAAGACTGCAAAACCGTATAACGCAAAAAGATAATCTTAAAATTAAACGCGACAATAAATGAACACACATATAGCCTCTATATGTGTGTTCATTTATTGTCGCGGTGGTAACGACACGCTGTATACACTTTCAGCATTGCATTTAAAGAGAGCAAATTCTCTTTAATACATTTAGTAAATGTTAATGGAACTTTATATTTTTGCGTTTATTACTATTCCTATAATAATGCATATACCTATAACAATAAAATAAAAGTAAAATACGATCATGGTTTATAAAAGACATTATAGGGATCCTCTGTGTACATTTTCGATAGCCTTCCATGATACTATCGATAGTAACCTAAGGCCCATCACTACACACACACTAGGTAAAATGAATGACTTGGTCAAGCGGCGCGTCGACGAAACGCGCGCTGCGCCTCGCTAAGCGGGGTTACCCCTCCTCTGCTTCCTCATACTTCACCACCCGAATAGTTAAAAATTCACTGCGTACAGCGCCTTTATATTCATTCATTTTTAGGGTTTCATACTCTAAGGGTAATACGAAACCCTATTACTAAGACTCTGCTGTCTGTCCATCTGTCACCAGGCTGTATCTCATGAACCATGACACCGTTTAAAAACATATGATTAGGCTCCCATGACACAATTTTTTTTTACATAATGGTACGGAACCCTTCGTGCGCAACTTCCGATTCGCACTTGGGCGGTTTTTTATATTGAAAACTGTATTGTTCCTAAATGACGATGATTTGTTATGTTGTGTTGATATTAATTTCCAATTCTTCTTTCAGGGTGGAGTTGTGTTACGAGTTCGGGCCGTTGGCTAGCATAACGCGTCGCAGCCGTGGTGAAGCGGGCCCCGGAAACAATGGCACGGCGCCCAGTGTGGCCCCCACAGTTCCCGCAGGGCCTCCGCTGGATGGGACCGCGGGCCTGCGCGTACTTAGGGCGCTTCGCCCCTTCCCTGGGTCACAAGAGGGCAGGCAGGAGGATGCTGAGGAATTCCTTGGTTGTCTACTCAACTCTATTAATGATGAAATGCTTGAGGTAAAGGCAATTTCTTTTCTCGTTTTATGTTTCAGCTGCATTTTTTTTTCCTCATAATTTAATTTTCTTAAATTCTATGTACCTTTTTTCAGCTGATGAAGCTGGTGGAACCAGAAGAGCCCAAAGACATCAATAACCGTCCTAATGGTGTTGTAACTCAAGAACAACCCCCAGAGGAAGATGACGACAATGATGAATGGAAGGTGATTGCTTAGATTTAATTAAGGTCTTTGAAATTAAATGCATGTAGAGTGCAAATAATAATTTATTGTATTTCAAACAATCTGCATCTACAAATGATAAAAAAGAATAAAAAAATAATAAAAGCTTACTATGGTAGAGCAACAATAACTTGAGTTAACTCAAAGGGAATTAATAAAACTAAATTGAAAGAAAAACAATGGTGTAAAGCAAAAGCATTTATACTTACATTTCTCTCAGAAGTTGGCAACATCTCTGGTGTTTGACATTATCCAGCTGTCCTGCCCAGTGTACCACTTATTAAATTGCCGTTCAATATGAACTAAAACTAATTTTAATGATTTCTGTTGCTAACAGGTTATGGGACCAAGGAACAGGGGAGCTGTGGAGAGGCGCTGGGCGGCCCGAAGAACTCCTGTGGCAGATATCTTTAGGGGAAGAACCCGCCATAGGCTTCATCGTGCGCATCATCACGATGTCACCGACGCTGTTCAACCTTTTTTCACACTGCAACTTGATATTGAGGTTTGTTAATATGCTGTAAAAAAAATAGAGTATGTCAAAAGAAAAATATAATAAACCACCGCATTTTAGATGCTCCCATACAAAATGTTTTAATACTTAACAGAAATTTTAGGCAAAACACACCATTCAATTTGGAAGAACATTTTAAACAAAACTAAAGATAAAAAGTTAAAATCCATAAAATAATGTTCACTACTTAACATAATGTTTTGATCCCAAGCATTGGTCTAAACTGCCAGAAATTTTTGAAAAAAAAAAAGAAGGCATTATTTTGAGAACCATACAGTGGCTCCTATTGAACTTGTTTGCATGACCCTTTTTAGACTTGTTTTTTTAAATGATACAGACCCCCCAATGGATACACTAAAAACCTACCTTTTTTTGTATGTGAAAAGTTGTCAAGCGAGCAGACTGTTCACGTGATGTTTAGTGAATACCGCCTTGTTATATTAATTATCAAATTTATTACAAAGTTAATAACAAATTAAATTTGAAATTGAACATATTCTCTAGTAAATTAATATTTTAGTTTTATTTTTCGTAGAGAGATCTTAGTTATATTTATATATTCTATTTTTCTCTTTTACTTTTAGCGCTCTAACACTGTTAAAGACGCTCTGGAACTTCTGGCTGGTAAAGATACTTTGGAAGGAGTGTCAGATGCCTGGCAACAACTGTCTATTGAGGAGCTACCAGTGGTCCTATTGTTGCACCTCAAATGCTTCCAACTTGATTCTGAAGGCCACACAGCAAAGATTGTCAAAAATATAGATTTTCCTATTGATCTGAAGATTGATCCAAGTACGTAATTAATAAATTATTCATTGTCAACTGTTTTTCAATGCCACAAGATAGTGTTAATTTAGTTTTAATAAAATGTCCAACAAAATATTTTTCACATGACCAGTTACAAAGTATGAAATGATTTGCATACTGTCAATGAAACAATCAAGTCACAGTTTTTTATAGCTTTTATTACTTTCATACAATGATGGAACTTATTTTTCGTCTCTGAGTGTGATATGAACTATCACATTAATGTTGACAACTAACACTGAGTGTAGATTATGTCTAGTGATATAATAACAAGAATAACTCCATTGTACTACATAAAAATATTTTTCAGAGATAATGTCATCCAAATTGAAATATACACAGAAGCAACGTCTATACAAGTTATTTGCTGTTGTATATCATGAGGGTGTAGAAGCTGTAAAAGGACATTATGTCACTGATACTTACCATGGACAAGTTGGCTGGATAAGGTATGTCGAATAAGCTTTTTTGTTAATAAGCAAACTCAACCATGTATTACTACTGCCAAGTATGATAAATGGCTAAAACAGATTACAAAGGTTAAGCATGTGCATTTTTATTAATATAGACCATTGTCATATTTATTTGCCTCATCATATTTATTGACTTTGCAATGAATATTGTCTGCATATATTTTGATATTAGTTGTTTATTCTAGTAAAAAATAAGTGATTTATATTTTTGAGTTGATTACTTATTATTAATATTTTTTTTATTTTCTTTAATAGTTTTCTACATAATATGTATTGTTCTTGTGCATTAGTCACCGTCTGCTTATTTATGAAGTATATTGTTGAAAAACAAGCTATGGTTCATATTTTCAATGATGGTTCTTTATTTTTCGTCTCCAAAAGTGATTTCTATCGCTATCATGTGGACACATTTAACTGAGAAAACAAACACCACTCTTACAAAATGTTATTAATTAATTTAGATGACAGTTGTATAACCGACCTTTATTTCTTTACAGGTATGATGATTCAACAGTGACTCAAGTCACAGATGCTCAGGTATTAAAGCCTAAGCCTCCTAGGATGCCATACTTACTTATGTATAGGCGACACGACATGTTGCCTCCCCATAGAGTCACTGGTAAACCAGAGTAAATTTGAGTGCTCTAAATACACTGTGTTTGTCAAGAAATAATAATTAAAGTACTAAACCAAGTGATGACAGTGATAAGAATATTTAGTTTTTATAGTTGTAAATAAAAATAATACATGCCTAATGGACTAGTTTTGCACAACGAAATTTTCTCACATATTACTTTGTAAGTACACAGTTTCATGCCACAAATTGGTGTCAATGAGTGGGCTGTTTTTGTATAATTCTGTCTGTTCTCTGTTTAAACACTAAAGCTGTTTAGGTTCCATTTGACCTTTCACTGTGTGCGGCTGGTTAGTTTTTCCCTTATTCTTTTTGTATTATAATGTATATTAAAGGTGAAAAATATTTATATTCAGCATCTACTGCTGTATATAGTTTTATACTCTATCAAAGCAAAATGTTTAAATATTTTGTTTCTTACGCCAAAATAAAAGATATTATTAATGACATTTGATCAAATTTAAACACATTCTTGTCAAAGAATGTGTGCTAAAAATGTAAATATCTTCATGTGTAGGTTTTATATGATACAAGAGGAGTTGAACAAAGTTGATGGGACCTCTAGTGATTATTTTGGCTATAAGGTTAGAAAATTCCAAAAAATTTTAAAGGCTTTCGAAGGTTATTTGAAACTGCCAAAAGTTTTATACAGTATTTGTTGCAACTCCTCCATAATTAGATATTAAGTTTTGGACAATATGGTATTGTGCTATAAGTTAAATTAAAAAAAATAAAAAAAAAAACTTTCTATGGATAATAATTTATTAACAGCAAAATTATAAAAAAAGTGAACTGATGGGAAGTACAAAGCTCTGAAATTGTTGTGCTAAGGGTGGTCATTGAATGTTGTGCAACTAAAATGGTTGATTATAAATAATGAACAAATAGTGTTAGACTACTATTCCTGTGCACTAACATATAAACAGTTTTGATAATTTTAAAACTTATTAAAATCACATAAGCTGCTCAAATTTTCCTGAGTGTATATAAGTTAGTGCACTGGCACCAAGCAAGGCGACCATTGAATAAGTGAGATGTAATGGATTTGTTCCAACCATGAATTGGAAATCAAAATTAATAGCAGTAGCGTAATGGTCGGTGTTAACAATTCTGTAAGTTTTGATGTATTATATTCATTGTGTAAATGTAATTTTTTATTACTTACATAATTATTTAATCATGTGCGTGATACATATGGTTTCGAAACAAAATTACCTATAATTAAATTTATTTTACTTAAATTCTTGAGTTTGCTGTTAGGAAACATCACAGATGAGCTTATATATGTCTAAAACATTTCAATAAACCACTTAGTTTTAAAGACGAGAATATTTAAGTTTATTTACACACTAGTTTTAAATAAAACTTGTACTCAGGATAAAAGACATTTATACTGGTCTGTTACATGTAAAAAAAAAACTTCAAAATAAAAATAATAATTACATTCAATAATCACAAGGTAGTTTAGGTAAAAGGTTTAATTGTCTATACTCTTTTACCGAGGCTAATATTTGGATGTTTAGAATTCAATTTAGATTAGAATTCTTTATTTGTCTCTTTCTGGAATCCTAGATATTGCAATGTATCATTTCTATGCAATCTATATGCGCTTATATATCCAATTGGAACCTTATTTTTCTCTACGTCTTGTCTAAACGCTCGCATAAAATATACAACACCGGTCATCACGCTGTTAGCAACATGGTGCTCTGAAGGACTGAAAGCTAAGCAGTGAGTGTAATGTGCCCTTTGTTTGTGATATGGCAAGTGAACGATTATTATGGATTGTTTAGTGATAACTGTATAATATTGTTATAACTATGTAAGTGTTAAACGTAAATAGAATTATCTTGTCTCGCGATTAATGCGTTGAGTGGGTATGATGTCTGTTTTTAATGTTATTGGAAAACTTCCTTCTCAATCTTCACTCCATTGGAATTGAAATACGTATTTGAAAGCAAAACAATGCTGTTGGGTATACTAAATTATATTATTAAGCCATTGTATATTTGTTTGATTAATGACTAGGATTTATAAAAGCATAGCTGAGCTATCTTAGATCCAATTAACCATCATGTATATTGATAATGAATTGTCTGATCTCACCTTAATATTTTTTGGATGTTGATGCCTTGATATTGATGTAAATTTCCTTTCCTCAAGGCAATATAAAAATGCCTTATTTGAATGAAAATATTTTGCTAATGTGAGGTTAATCATAAATTATATAGTAGTTGTAAATTTGAAATTGCTGCTTTATAAATGTTTTGTATTTAAGTGTTAAAATTAATCCTAAGCCGCACTGGTAAAGTCCATAAAATATAAAGAGAATCTGCGTTTTATAAATAATGTAAGGTACTAAAAAAATGTTTTAATTTCGCGTTAATTTCATAAACACTGTTTTGTCTTTTTTCCTAACTTGTAATCCTTTTTTTTTTTTTGTATTAGTAACATGGTTGTTGTTTTTATTTAACATTTGGATTATGGGTAGCTAATATCTTAATGGTATGTCACTGTCAATAGAGCTATAGAATTAGGTTTTAATTCTCACCAAACTTATGAAGTATAGTGTTATATCGTAACTAAATAGCATGCACGTTAACGTGTAAGGTAAGCTCTAACGATAGAATGTGTATGACGCAATGTCGCTGACGGTTTTTTATCGTTTATCACTCCTAATGGTCTATGGCGATTAAACAAAGCTACCTCTCAAGATCCAGTATGTTGCGAACCGATATTGTGAGTCTAATAAAATTTTAATATATAGCTATTATAAAGTAATAATTTCTTCAAACCTATACGCTCACGATGTTGCGTCACCATAGATTTAAAAGAACTCTTAGTTTTAACTGATTAGTTACAGATTTATATTGAGAATAAAACGAATTTATATAAATGTGTGTATATATATATATACATATATGTATTTGTTAGAACTACGATATCGAGTAGGATGTTTGTTTTTAATTTTCTTTATTAACTTTGTCAATATTCGTGAATCGGTTGTTTGGTTTTTATTCCGCGAGGCGTTTTCTTTTCATGCGTAAGACTGAACGCAGGGGTCCCGAATTTGGTTATTTTTTTATTGTATTATACGAATGGAAGCAGCATATTTAGCGCGTAAGTTTCTACTGTAACGAATGCTGCCTTTTCACAGTTAAGTATCCGTGTTGCGTATTTATTTGGATGTATTTGTGTCGGATAACGGTTGGCCGTTAGTCTCCTAAGTAAAAATGAGGCGTAAATGCGATGAACGCGTGTTATTTTGCACTCGATCTTGTTGTGGTGGTGTAGGTGTATGGTGTTCTAGAATCGCAAATTTCAGTACCCAAATAGCATATTTAACATTAAAAATTGCCACATCTAGCTATCGCAGACATGTTTAATCATTTAATGATCCTTTCGCAGTTGGCTGTGACATTTTACACCTACTACCTAGGACTTTCTACAGTTATGAATGTTAGCAGTGATTTTGTTCAAACTAAACTATCAATGGACTTTGTAGGCTTATATAACTAGGTGAACATAAATTATGTTTATATATAATGATTGAGTAATTTAGGTTTCAGATCGCAATTCAGAGGTCATTTTTTAATACTAAAAAGTTATTCTATAAATTATATTTATTAATTAATGAACGTTCCTGAGTATATTTTATTATAATTATTAATTATATGATCAAAGTAGTTTAATAAAAAGTTTTTATTATTAAACCAGTTTGTGCAGCTTTATTGTCAGAATTTCTTCGTTCACTAAAATCTGTATAATTAGTGTAACATTTAGTTTATAACTTGTTTGTTTGCTGTTTTAAAATCTACTTGTAAGACCTTTCCTAATTTGTTTTTGCCGACATATTTTAATTTATTTTTACTAGAATAAGTTTGTTCTAATTTTATCAATTAGTGCTGGAAAAGGTAGTTTATATGGTAGTTATCTTTAGCGGAATATATATTGTTAATGTGATTTTCTTTTCCATTCAGTTTGTTATAACCAATAAGTGCATTTCACAACTAAAATATGAAATTGAATGTCGAAAATAAACTCATCTTTATGTATTTATTTATAATGCTATTTAAGCACATTAGGGCATGACCTACTGTTTGCACAAAGGATGTTTGCATATTGCTTTTTAATAGGAGTACATAAGGTAGTTTTATATAGAACGCAATTGTTTTCTCCATGATAACTAAAATACACTAAGGAATGAAATTGACAGATGTATACACATGGTTATTTATGAAATGTCTAGTCCCCGGCTAATCTATCTTTTTTTGGTAAAATCATTAGAATCAAACCAAATAAATGGGCAAATTTTTGATACAACATGTGCAATAGACAAGGAATTTATTAAAAAAAACGGTATAAAACATTAATAAACTTCATCGGTCTATATACTTAGTGTGTAATGTTATGTAATATGCTTATGATTAACTATTATTATTTTTATATGAGAAGTTGTAATTTAAGTTACGAATAATTTTAGTGATAAGATCCCAAGGCTGTATTAAAAGGAGTGATTTTCCGCAACCACGACGAGGCGATGCTTGCAATGTTTTCATTTCACCCAATTTGGATGTCTCGTGGAGAATACTCCTGTTGGCCGTAACAGTTGAGCTCTGTATGAAAGCATCTTGATAGACCTGGGGGCTCTTACTGCTACGGCCATCTTATAAGTTGTTAATATGTGTGTATGACTAAATAAATAAAAAAATTATCCTTTATTTTGGTAAAAGATTGGTGTTATGAAAATTTGTGAATAAAATACGGTGTCATTCTGAAAATAACAACTTTTTTGTTACGCATAACCTGAGAAATATCCCATTATGAAGAGTATGGTAAGAAGCAATGGAAAATTATTTATTTAATTGTACCAACAGAGTAGACTCCATCACAGGTTAAAAAAAAAGAAACCAAAACACAAGATTGGTGCTACTCCAATTATAGGTACAAACAACATACAAATCTTCAACAGCGTTACAAATTAAGAATTAAATTAAAATTACTAATTAATAATACGAAATAAATGAATCATTACAATAAGAATAAAAATATAACAAAGAAAAAATTACCTCTATGACACATTAATTACAAGCAAAATATCCTTATGTAGGTAGGTTACAATTGTCAAACTACAGTCTGATGCATGTAATATTTGAATTTGTATAATTTGTTTGAAAAAAATGTCCACAAGAGGAATTTTTGGATCACATTTTAAATTACTGTCTTCCACGCTTGAACCGAATTATAATTTTTCATTATTCTATTTAAAGGAGAAAATTGTCCTAACTTTGAGCGTGCTGTCTTTAAATTAAATGCAGTTTATTTCAATGGTCTTGGCAATCCTCTAGGTATAGACAAGTTTAACTGAGATATTAAGTATGTATCTTCAATTTTCCTACTAACCAGTTTATACAGAAGTGTGGAGTTTTGGTCGACAGAAAAGGGATTGTAAGCCAAAGTGTCTTAGACGTTCTTCATAGCTCATAAGTTTTTTTTTCAGGCTGCAACTATGATAAGTGCCATAAAAACTCGAACTCATACCGTTTGTTTTGCACCATGAGACTAGATTATTTAAATCCTCAAGCAGTAACATACCTTCTTGAGTTCAATTTGCTGTCCTAAAAAATATCAGCAAACATGTAATGTTTGAAGTGGTGGAAACATGTTCCTATGTCGTTAATAAAACATTTGAACAGCAGAGGGCCCAGATTAGAACCTTGGGGAACACCAGATAATACTTTAAAAGGCACAGAACTATGACCACTCATTACGACTGTCGATTTTCTACTTTTTAGATATGACAAACCAGTTTAGTAAGCTGCCAGATATACCAAATAACGAGAGTTTGGCGATCAGTAATTCATGATTCACTATCAAAAGCCTTACTGAAGTCAGTATATATAACGTCTGTTGAGTTTCCCCTGTTTACTGCCTCAGTAAGGTCCCCGACGAAGGATATGAGATTTGTTGAAGTAGAGCGTCCTATGTCCATGTTGTTCCGAAACTGGTAACTTACGAACATATTAATTAATTTCCTTGTAAAATTTCGACGTTTCATAAGAACGCGCAAGCGTCTATGTGAATAAAGATATTTTATTATTATTATTATTAAACAATAAGATGTATTAAATGCCACGATAATACAGGACACAACATGGATTCGAAAACTTTGGCAAAAGCTGAGATTATAGAAATAGGCTTATAATTTTTGATAGAACTGGCATCCCTAATTTTAAAGAAAGGTAAAACGAGTGCATCTTTCCAAGCTGTCGGGAAAATACCAGTATTTAGAGATTTATTGAATATTAAAGTGAGGGGCACTGCTAAAGCATGGGCACATTTAACAACAAATATAAATAGATGGTATTCCATCCGGGCCTGCAACTTTGCTACAATCAAGTCTCTTTAAAACCCTGAGTACTTGTTCACTTGTTGAAGTCATCAACAATGATGGTGTTACCGCTGTGTTTTTCCAATACATAATTGCATTTATTTAAAAATGTTCTAAAATATGTCTTTGAACAGGCGGTGGTAAATAAACGCCAAAAATATAAAAGTAATCATTCTTATTATTGCTTAACTGAAGCCTGACCCACAGATCCTCATAGTCAGACTCGCACTCAAACAAACGGAGAGAATGTCTGTGTAAGAACTATTATGCCATAGTCGCTATAGACATTCTTAAAAAATTCGAAGGTCTTCGTTCTTAAGCCTCTTACATTTTGGTAATAAAAACTTAAAGTAATAGGCATGCCCTTTTGTTACAAATAATACAAATATAGCGGTTTCATGACAAACGATTCAGTCTCTGCATTCCTCACAAGAACATAACCTGATTCCTCGTCTTTCCGCATGTATATCCTACCGTTACGCAGCCAAACAAATTTGTAACGTAATTCCCTTGCTTTGGTCCTTGCAGCTGCGTGTAGAGATTTGTTCTCAGATGTGAGATGTTCCATGACATAGATGGCACTTTTCTTATTTCCGCCAATCCCCAAATGGCTAGTATTAAGTTTGTCATCTTTGTTATTTCTATTAAACCTTACAGAGGCTGCAAGGAATTCATCGCGAAGACGTGGGCTACAAAATTTTACTAAGATGGAGCGTGGACGGGGTCTATCGTTGTTCATCTTTGCCAATCTGGAGCCTGACCTGGAACATAACCTGGCAAATATCCCATTATGAAGAGTACGACTGTACGACTGGTTAATGTTCATTAACCAATCGTACACAAAACAAAAAGAAGTGATGTTTCTAAATGCAGTTACGTTTTTAATTGCACAAATTAATTTTTGTGTCTTGTAAAATTAAAAATAAGTATATGACAAAAACTAAATTCCCGTTTTTCAAAAACACTCACACATAGGCGTCAGAATAGATCGGTTTTGAAATGTTAGAAAAATGAATGTTGCGGGAAGTCGAAAAACGTAAAGTTTATTTTTCCGTCAGCAGCCTCGTCTGAATTCTTATACCTTATAAACACATTACCTAACAAAAAATCGCACGCTTCTAAATCGTTAGTATGGTAGATGGGGCACATAGCAATTCAACGCATGTAATGGTTACGAAGTTAATTTTTAAAGCATAGGTACACCTGTATTTAATAATACCCTAAGCTTCAGTTTAGCGACCCTCATTAAACTCCTAAAATTCAAGGCAGACAAATTTAATAAATCTGCTCACTAAAAATATTCTATTACTGCTATTGGACCACTGTGAAGGAAAAAATGGAGTCGTTTTTATTATTTTCTCGTTTAAGAACAACTGACGGTCAATCGTTTGCTAATATCAATCGTCAATGATAATATCAATTACATTATTAATTCGCATAATAAAAATCCCAGTAATAGAAAAACGAAGGAGAACTTTTATTCATCATATCACCAGCTAGTATGAATATGAACATTAATACCTAGACTACTTAGAATCACTACTTAAAATTCGAAATAATAATGTAGTTAGGACATTTCATTTCAAATGTCATTTATTTGTTTCTTTTCTCGCTTAGTTTGGACTTTTAACAGGACAAAGGTTCGTTTGTTAAATGAAATACGCGTTAATGAGTTTGTCGATTCCCGTCTCTAAGTTTTTTTATAGCAGAGGGATAAACTTACAATAAGATGGTAAAACTGCTTCATCAATAATTGCAATGTTTAGAAAATTATTTTTAATTTACCTAATCTTAAATCAACATAAATAAAAAGTAACCACCGAAATTCTTAATTCTTTAATTTCCCACTGAGAACAGTGATCGATTTTTCTAAAATACAGATAATTTATCTTCTATTATTTGAATTTTAACTTAAATTACTTAATAAAAATTTGTCTTTTTAGTATTTGCAAAAGTTTAGTCATTTCACGTCATCCACAATGTTCTGTAACAAAAATATTTTGTGAATATACATGTATTGTACCTATATATAAACAATTACAGTACTGCAATGTTCTAATTGACAATTTCCTAATAGCCTCGTATACAGCGTGTCTTTACCACCGCAATAATAAATGAACACACGTCTAACGCTACTTGCTAATAATCATAAAAAAATATTAACGTTAAAAAAATCCATAATTAAAAAAAACTATACAACCCTATACAACTACATCTGACTGATTCATACATTCAGAGACTTTCATTCGTTGCCACAGCGCCGCATTACAAGCCTCTCCTTCTAACACTATGTTTTGTCTCTTTTAAATTCATTCAACCCATTCATATGCTTTGTGAACTTTACAAATGATCTTTACATTAAAGTTTTATACGTAAGGGTGTTCTAAAATTCTTTGTTTTGGAAAATTTGATATCTCGTTAAATATTGATGTTTAAAGAATGTAAATCTTTAATAAAATTTAAAAAAGTTATGACGTATAAGTAAAGACACACTGTATAATAAATCGTATCGCAAAAAACAATTGCATACCACAAACGCGGCGACCTTATTCTTTCTGATCCTATCGGTATATGAGCAGACTCCTTAAATTCACGGAAAGTATAAAGATCCATCACGCCACAGCAGTGGGTTTGTAGACTACACATTTAGGTACTCGAAATATTTAGTAATTTTTTTTATGGAGAAAAGGGACAAACGAGCAGGAGGCTCACCTGATGGTAAGTGATTACCGACGCCCATGAACACCTACAGCACCCGAGGGCTTACAAATGCGTTGCCGGCCTTTTAGAAAAGAGTATGCTTCTTTTCAAAGGTTCCCAGGTCGTAACGGTTACCTATATGTTGCTAGTTTTGTCCGATGTTTCGCTTCATCGCCGAGCACGTGATAAATTAGCACAATAAATTGCAATAAACAATTTTCGCAATCAATGCGAAGAAATCGTATAATTAAAATTCAACTTACCCTTACTCTGCACCTAAACACGAAATAGAATGCAGCGAATACCGGAATGGCCAGGAGGCACAACATAACCGATGTCGTACCGACAGCGGCTTCGAATGTTGACAGAGAGCCCATAGCGGTCAACATTATTATCTTAAATGAAATTGAATATTATTATCTTAAATAAAAATCAACACGATTTATCTTAAAACATTGTTTAGTCATGGTTTCGACACATTATTTAAATTTTTAGGATACGTTGATTGCAAAATTCATTGTAGCCCATTACAACAGGCTCAATTCGTAGAACCTGTCACGTTTCAGGACATAATAAAAGTTAAAAAAAATAATTTCTCAAACAATGAAATTTAAAAAGCGCTATCTATCCACCCAGTTCAGGTGTTTAACAGCCAGAAAAGATGTGAGAACGCATATTTCATAAAAAACGTAAGTATGTAATACTAGTAAGTACAGTACACTCGGCATCACACATTAATTCAATTATAGAGTACTATAAAAAGACATGCATTATGCTATATTGTTAGTTACCAAGAGCACTACTGGAGCAATCGCCCAGCTTATCCTCATAAACACGCACGGGTACTCTCCCACGGCGAAATAGACCTCTTCGCAGAACGTAGTCTGGCCATATATATACGTTATGACCATCGCAAACACGCACGCTATGGGCGCACGCACCTTTGACACCGGCCATGTCATTATAAAATTAACAACGTACAAGCCACCCTGGAAATATTAAAACTCTTATATGGGATGTCTAGCATATATTCAAGGCAAAGTCTGCACATTATAAAAATATGGACCATAAATCAAAAAGGAGAAATGGAACTAAACTTATTGTGAAACATATAGTTCGTTTCACATTCCTTTGTCTTTAACATAGAGGTCTTTAAGAATGATGCTGATAGTACTGTTGCATGGATAACCCGGCACGTGCGAAAAGAAACAAGTCTCACGGGTGTCCAAGCAATGCCATGGGCGGGATAATGACTTTAGTTCCCTAATACTGCCCGTTATCTACCAGCATATAACGAGGTGACAATGGGATCACTGTACGTTATCTACCTTCATTTTTTCAACACATTACCTGGTGATAAACCGACAAGCGTCATTGCTGTTTCTTTTTGCATGATACCTAATTCTACATTATTACGCAAATACAAACCTGAGTACAAACTGTCATAATGCCAATGAAACAAAACAATAGACAAATCGCTACAAGAAATGCCCACGTAATTTTGCGAATGGAGTGACCGGTAAATGTTGACATGATAGTTTGCACCAGCAACGCCTGTAAACATAGGAGTGATTAAATTCAGTGTTATTTTAAAAATACCTAACGGGTTGCACGCCTAAGTTAATAAACATAAATGGATCTTTGTTTTACTAAAATATTACGTTCACTAACAAATTATTTTGAGATATAAACGTGCAATTATAATGTGTTTCCAATTGTTACCTTTGGGTTTGTTTTTTATGTTTAATTACTTATTATTAAAAAATGCCACATAAATATTTACTTTTCTTGAAATGTGTCTTTCTTTAAGAGCAATAGCTGCTAAGGTTTCTGAATATGATATTAAGCTAATGCGATAGTGCCGCGCCGGTACGCCCGGGATTGAGTCGCAATTTCAACCTTCTTCTTTCCTCTGGGTAGGTCCCCTTATCTATTGCGATCCAAGCACAGGTTCGAACCTCCACTTGAGGTTCGAACAAAAGATAAAGGGCCCCCCTTTTATCGTGTCGTACCCTGTTAGTCGATTGTCCATCTTTCGTTAGCAGGGTGTTGCGGAGTGCAGCGTAATAGACGGAGTCTTTGTGTCGTCGCCAGCTATGTTGTTCTCCCGAGTCCGCGGGTCGTCTGTCCGCGGACCACTTCCGCCACCGGGCTAACAGCAAACTACACGTGACAAAAAAAATCGTCCAATTACCGTTGTAGAAAGTGCCACGACGAAGAGCGTAAAGAAAACCAGCGCCGACCAAAATTGGCTGCCGGGTATCCTGGCAACGAAGTCAGCCCACAGGACCATGGACGAAGAGGTACCTACAAAGGACACAATAATACACATATGCAGAAATAAAATTATAATTTGCTTTTAATTTAGTGCTAGTCATAACTTAATATGAAACTGAAAAGTTTTTAGATAAATCTGCCAAAAAAAAATTTTAGTTACTAGCGTCTGGACGCGTAATCCGGAATGCGCAGGCTCGAATCCTAGTAGTAGCGGCCAAAAATTTTGCGACAGTTCACAGCTTCGACTGTTGCACGAATGGGCAGGTAGGTCCGGGCAAGTACCACGTACTCACAGAAGACCAGCGTAAAGTGGAAATGTCATACTTCTGCGTTTCGTGTGTTGTTTGTACCTCACGCTTTACGCATTTTATTAAAAGGTGGTAACGCATCTGCAACCCTACGGGATTAACATCAGGTGAACCGCCAGCTCGCTTGCCACCGCTCGCTTCTCACATAAAAAAAAGTTTCATCAAATAAAACGATGCGGAATAAACGATATGGAACTTCTTATTCCAACCTGGCCAGATACTAGTTTCGTTGTCGTAGTCCCTACGAAGAGCCCCGTGGGCCGCAGCGAGAACAAACGCGCTGCACATACAGCTTGCTTTCGAAATGACGAACGTTATTAGCGCGGTTGTCGCGAGTTTGTGTTGTTCTTTGGGGCAGTGTGATCCCATCATCACTAAGACCCCCTGGGATACGGTCATTTGCACCAGACAGTACTCCAACGCGTCGCGCCAAATCTGCAAATGAATGTAAAGTATATAAAAGCAATGAATTATGTTTTTTAAACTTCGGTACCCAAAGTATAAAACGGGACCCCATAACTAAGACACCGCTACCTGGCTGTCTGTCCGTCTGTCACCAGGCTGTATCTCAAGAATCGTGATCGTTGCCGCTATAACAACAAATACTAAAAAACAGGATGAAAAAATAAAATGGGGCTTCCATATAACAGACATGATTATTTTCCCGTTCGCGAGTCCGACTCGCGATTGATCGGTTTTTTAATAGGAAGATAATATATAGTTATGACAATTTAATACAACAGCCTACAGGTACAGCCCAGGCAAGACTCCGGTACTCAAGAACATATTCCGAACATGTAACCCCAGTATGGCTCTTATAAAAAAAATTCGACAAATTAAATATTATAAAAATTTAAATCGTGCGGTGGAGTAAATAATAGGGAGAAAATCGGAGATTATTAGAGACATTGATGGGCAATTTAATCACGAAAGTCGCGATAAATCAGCACTTTAAACTTGCAATTGATAACTTTATTTGTGATTACAGGTTTATCAGGGTCTCAGGGTGCCCTAAGAACTAATAATTTAAGGCGGAATACTAAAGTAAAAGGTATCATTTTTGTCTTTGCTACTACTCAATAATACCTGAGTTCCTTCGAATAGCACGCCCCAATCGCATTCCCTGAACATTGAACTTGCCCCGTCGAGCCGTATAGCGCCCAACACGCTGATTAATAATACAAAATAAGCCAGCACATCTTTGAATAATACCAACTGAAAGGCAACACAGCTATTAAATTTAAATCAAATTCAGATGTTATTTCATTTCACACAAAGAAGGTATCACTTCCATACAGGCTCGTTGAAAATGTTCAAATAGTGAGCAATAAGGAGTTTTAAGAGGTTATAGGAAAGTAGATGGAAGGCAATTTCTCGAGTATTTCATATTTTCATCGCATGAGGGGTAGAGTGCATTAAAATGTCATAATTTCATAAAATTTGAAAATGGAATGGGAATTTTGTAACGAAAAATTGAAGTTTAAGCTTATAAATAATATACCAATAATATCATACTTTAGAATAACCATAAATTCGTTTGAAGGAAAAAAAGTAGATCAGCATCCAGCTGATAACATAGTAAAATGTCAGTTCCGGGACAATGCTACCCAGGCCGCCTTTTAGTCCGTCGCGTTTCAGGTTCAAAACGAAATTACTGGAAAAAAACCATACAAAATCGTCTTGTTATTTTATATAAAATAAGTAAAGATTAACATAAAATACCTTTCACAGATATATAATAACACTTTGACCGTCAGTGATCAGATGCTTCTATTCATTATTTTATTTAAGAGAATACGGAAAACTAGGGAATACTTTGTATGATAATAAGTTTAATTCGCAACTGACAACCCTGCGCATTACGCAGTGGGTTGCAATATGAAGAATTTTTACTACATCAACCTCGTTTAAACGAGGCAGGCCCTCTTATTTATATCTAAGTAACAATAAAGATGCAATAATGTGAGTTGTTAATAGACCAGTTCTCTAACAATTACTTCGGTGCTATCAGACCTCGAACCTGCGTCTTCTGGGTATCACACAGACCTAGCCAACTGAGCCAAGTGGCCGATATACACTGGGCGCGAAAATCCCAACAACTATTTCTATTATCATTTTTTGCGTTTTTAGCCGCCCTCAGGGCCGCCTAGCGAGCTGTATTCAACGGGACCATTACATTACTCACAAGAAGAATGACTGGGACGGAGTCTCGCTTCCTTCGGGCAGCGGCCGGTGCCTCGCGGCGCAGGCTGGGTGCACGATCGCCGCACAGTGGAGCCACGGCAGGAAGGCGTGGAATGAATGCGCAAACAGTGCGAGGCACCACGCACTCACAACGCCTGTCGCTAGAGCGGTCAACGCGCACGACGCTATCATTGCGAAACCCACGCCTGAACCATGGGAAAAAGACTGTATTGAAAAAGATTGTTTCACTAGCGATGGAGAATTGCCACTGCGAGATTGCCACTCGGGAAGAAAGGTTCTCGAGATCGTAAAATACGATCTACAAAACTACAGATATGCAGATGGGTAATGATCGTGCTTCATGGCAGAATTTGAATAGAAGAATTGACATTGAAGGTTGATAGCACCCTGTATACACATTATTATTTTGAGCCAATTTTTGGCTCAAAATAATAATGTGTATACAGGGTGACTTTTCTAAAGGTGCCCAAATTCACACAGGAGGTCAGAGGAAAACTTTTTTTTTTTCAAAAAATTAAAAAAAACAGAACTTGTTGACAATGCGGTAGTCATTCATAAATGCGTCGTATACTTTTTAAACGAACTTGTGTGCGTGTTAGTTATGAATGATCGCACGGAAAATAAATGAGTTGCCCATAAGTCACGCACTTTTTGAGATAAGTTAAAATGAATGTAATTAATTAATTACGAGTGATTTTAATTTATTCTTCGTAGTTTTATTAATAAGACACTCGACCCTTATCTATAACAAAATATATTGTCATGTCTTCTTTTATGAAAACTTGTTAAAATTTTAAGAAACAACGATATTTATAAGACCTACGTGTTCAGGGATTTTTCCTTTCCACATAAAATAAATATATTGTTAATATAATATGTAATGCATAAGTTATTTTTCAGCTAGTAGAAATTTCAAATCGCCCAAAACTGAAAATGTCACTTAATCATCCCAAGCAAATCGTGCCAATTCTCCTTTGGCAAGTCAGTAAAAACATGATATCGATGAACTATCACATGCTAGTTGAATAGTGCTTAGTTTTAATTGAAATTAGTGTTACTATTTATGATATGACTGATTTTCACTCATATAGCAGAGTGAGACGCTAAGTTTTCTAATATCTTTGTTAACCATTTTATTTTATATAGTGGTCCTTATTTATTATAATAAACCAAGTGAGTTTATTAAGTCCAAGAAAAGATAATTAAGATGTAATTATTTAGGTTGTCAAAATAAGAAAGCGAATAACAGTGTAATAATTACAACTTATCACGCATAAATTACTTATATATTTTATTTGTAATTTTTAACATATAGTTTTGTGTTTCGTGCACAAAATTACCTCTAGCAATTGGCGCCATGTCCCAACAGTTCAGAACACCTTTCTTCGTGACTACCCCCAATGCCAGTTCCAGATAAAGTAAAGGGTAACCGAAGACTACGCTGAATACGTTGTAGAGGAAAACGAACGGTATGAACTTGCGTAAGTCGTGTAAGTATGGGTGCCACCATAACTGCACGATACCAATGCACGAAGACATAACAAGCTGCCTATAGTTGATATTGTTCGTCCATCTGTCACTAATCTGTGAGTAATAGGTTATCTTAACATAGTATAAAACAAAGTCGCTCCCGATGTTTGTACGCTTGGATTTCGATGCGGTTTTCAGCAATACATAGAGTGATTCAGTCGGAAGGTTTACATGCATATTAAAGTAAAGAAAAGCCGAGAAATTCAATATCTACATTGCACCCGTAGCAGGGGCGGGTCGCTAGTAGTGTGATAATTTGCAGCCTGTTACCTGCAGGTAGAAAACTGGCAGGGTGTTCACTTGATGTGGTGGATGGGATTGCAGTTGCGCTGCCTATTTTTAATATTTATAATGAAATGACACAAACACCGGCAGTTGAATGTAGTCAAGGGTTATTCTCCGGACGAGTACTCCCATTCATGAAACATCGAATACTTCGATCTTCTCGATCAATTGATTACTGATAAGTACTTTTGAAACAGAAAATTAATACAAAGATTTAGTTCAAGACGGTTGAATTACTTTGATGACAGACAAACAAGTAAATAAGTTTTTTTTGTCGTGTATTGTAATTATGCATTTACAATTAAAGCAGTTTAACTTAGAAGTGAACTAAAGAAAAATTAGTTTTTACCAATGGATTTTCAGTTGATAGAGATGTGCTCGACTCGCTGACGGTTTTTGAATGCGTGGTCTGAAAATCAGATTAGTAGCAAATGTGATAAAAGAAAAATAATAAATACAAATATAGCAAAGAGATAATGAGAACGTAATGCATAAAACATTACGTACCGCACTTTCGCTCATGCTCACAAATTACAAAAATCGCAATATTTATAAAAATTGGGTACACACGTCAAAAACGTTCATATGCGTCAAATTGACTCACTCCGCCAAATGTGATAACAATAACTAAGCAAAAAGTTTCAAGATGTACACGTAAGGTCCATAATAGGACGCAATCTTATACTCGAGCAACCTGATTGAGTTTAATACCTGGTGTCAGCACCAATGAAATTTTCAATGCTGTGTGCAAGTGCTGACTTATCACTTGCTATGTGGTTAAGGGGAAACATTGTGAGGAAACCTGCATTTTTTCGAAATAACAAAAATATTTCCAAGATATCGGTGGTAGGGCCACGTAGCAGCCTCGGCTGCCACGACCTAACAGAAGACCGGCGTAAAGTGGAAGTATAATACTTTTGCGATTCGTCTGGTGAGTGAGGTGGCCGGAGCCCAATCTTCAAAAGGTTGTCAACACATCTACAACCTTCGGGTGTAGCGAATGTCCACGGGCAGCGGTATTCACTTAAATAAAAAACAGATATGTGAAGTCCGCCAATCCGCAGTGGGCTCGCGTGGTAGACTACCCCCTATACCCTCTGTACAGAGGAGGCCATTGCCCAGCAGTGGCACATTTATAGGCTGTTATTATACTTTTCTACCTTTACAGGTAGATATCGACAGTGGGTTTGTAGCTCCAATACTATCGATGGCTTGTTGTCAAGTGCTCGCAAGTAAAGTTTTTGGTGTTTTATTTTAGCACGGTAAAGACATTTTACTTAGGTCTATTGCAAAGCTTACGTATTGCAAAGGTTGATTTTATGCTTCACTTAGGTCTTAGTCTTTTTTGCTGAGATTAAGTGCAAATTCAACACTTCGTTTTGTTTGACATTTTCGATAACAAATACCGGTGTGTAAATAATAGACGGTCTGAGTAATGTAATGTTCACTTTAACAAAGTGATTAGCTCTCTAATATGACAATAAAATAAACGAATCAAAATTTAACGTGTCGATCAAGATAAGGCAATATATAAATATCGGAACCATCTAGCAGGTCCAAAAAGAGCAACGTAACTAACCTAAATTATTATAACTAGGCGATGGACAAACTTCTGTAAAATTAAAATTTTATTATAAGTATAATATAATAAAAATTTAACATTATTCGCGTAATATTTAAAATTATTAATTAACAAATTGTCTAACAAACTGCCTAAAGTACGTGTTGCTTAAAACGCTATGCTAAAAACCAGCTGCATTTCGTTTTTCGTTTATTATTAACCGAATAGATAGGTACATACACCTCCTTCTGGTTACGTTTCGTAATAGCGCGATTGTATTTACTCTTTAAGGCCCATTTATACAATGCCATTTTCTTGTACATACAAGAGCAATAATTGAATGCAATAAATTGCGCGCAATAATTTGTTAGACCATTTGTTGTTTAGACCATGCAACTCATTTATTGCTTCAATTTAATTGTATACAACAGGCAAGAAACTTGCACCGTGTAAATGGGTCTTTAGAGATTATTTAAACCTCCAAGGATATAGTCCCTACAGCAAATTGCTTACTACTGGTCTACAGTTTTACACTAAAAGAAAGAGATTTAGCACCAGTCATCTACTTCTCACCATGACAAGGGTTGACTGGTAGAGAATGCCATTAAGCATTAAGTCTTTAGCCTAAGGTGTAACAATGAAGTATAAAAAAATAAATAAATAAAAAGACTCGTATTAGCATCATTAAGCTGCTTCAGATCAGGCACCATTCTCCACTCCTCTAATCACTCGGCTCCTGACCGAACCTATTTGTTTAGATACCACAACGGACGAGTGATATACACACCAGTTACAAAACGGATAGAAAAGGCAAAGGCAATATGTCAACATTCCTAATCAAGTAAGTACTTGGTGCTATAGCGTATAATTGAATTCTTTAGGAAAAATAGGACAGCAAGAAAACTTAATTTTTGTCACTCACCTTCATTACACAGGGCTATGCAAAAATTGACTACTCCAAATATTACTAGCGACTGTATAATTTTGCTGTGGAAGGGCTACCACGCACCACGCAACAGTCTTCGCTGTTACACGAATGAGCAGGTTTGTCCAGAGAAGTATTGCAGAAGACCGGCATGAAGTGTAAGTGTTACACTTCTACTTTTCGTCTGGTGGTTCTTTTTTGATTTTTTTTAATGTGAGAAGGTGGCAAACGAGCTGGTGGTTCAGCTGATGTTAAGTTATAACCGCCACCCTTTGACATTTGCAACAACTATAGGGTTGCAGATGCGTTGCCCCCAATTAATAAAGTAAGCCCCGGCTACCTCAGTCTACAGACTTTTTACTACAGATAATTATGTTGTTATCGAGCCCAAAGTGAAGCCGCGAAGTCCCAATTGGGACGTCTCGTCTTTAGTTCACGTCGTCTGTCTGCCGTCGTGTGTCTTTAAAATATGTAAGTACTAAGTGCGACTTTAAAGTTAACAATATCAATTTTTCGATTATTTTTCCTAATACTTTATTTGTGCAGGTTGAAAAAAAAAAGAAAGAGGCACAACAAATAAATTTACTTCTATTTACATTTCCGGACATAGATAAACAACTTCGGATACGAATCAGAGATTGTAATCACTACGTGTATGATACGAATGTCGTCGGCTGTAAGCTAATCTATTTATTTACAATTTTATTTTCTCCATTAAGGTTTCTTACTAATGGGCTTCGGCAATCGTATGTAATCAGAGAAATTAATCTGATCGATGTTGAATCTTAAAAACATTTTAAATTTGGCCCGTTTTTTAAACATTCAAAGCAGGCACTTGTTAATCGTCGATCTATTTGGAACACTTTTAACCGGTGATTTTGTAAGCATATAGGAAGAAAATAAAACAGTGGTTGTTAATATAACAAATTCTTTATTTCAGCCGATTAATTTCATTATCAAACTAAACACCATAATCAACTAAAAAAAATATTTGCACCGCAGTATTTGGGGTGAAAAGGTGAACTGGATTCTATAAAAGTCAATAGTTAACCGAAATAATATTTATTACCTATGCACACAGCAATATGAAGAAAAGAGATAGAAAACAAAATTCAACAAACTTAATTGTAACTTAATTTTAATGGGGTGCCAAGTATGCATAATATGGAAAGTGTAAATCCACTCCAATCCAAATTATCAAGCAAAAGATGCATCCATATTATCAAACGAAAAATGCTTATCTTTATTTACTTGGAGTAGGTATTGTCGTGATGCTCGTGTTATTTACCAAAAATCGTGTAAAGACATCTAGCATTTGAGACCAAATTAATGTCAATAAATCAAAAGATCGATGATTGTTTTTCTAAATATTCGGGACGCTACACTAAATAAGTGTATTAAACGTTGGTCAGTCGCTAACAGGTCAATTTAGTGTTAAAAACATTATAAGTTATTATTATTCAAAAGAGTTTAAAGTACATAATGAGCTGATTAAACGTGTTTTTGTAATATGATTATTTTACGATACGGAAAATATTACAAATCCTGGTACCCACTTTTAATGTGTTACCATGTTTTTTTTGTTTTTTTTTTATTCGGATGTTAAATGTCACAGTCAATTGATCATTTATGATAAACGTGCACATGGCAAGTCGAACAAAAACCCGCTTTTAAAGTGTAAAACTATGAATATGAATTCTGTGATTTATAACTCTTTCTAGGATTATGTCAATCCTAGAAAGAGTACTGCAACACCAAAAGTATAATTACATGGAAATATAATAGAACCATGTTCAGGAGCAGACAACATTTTTGGCCTCGTTTCGTGGTTGCCATAACTAAATATAAGAAATAAATAGTTGGCAAATAAAACATTTCTTAATACATTATTTTATAGCAACTATTTTTTTTAATTATTATTGTATCATATAGATCCGAAGTATAATAAATCTAATATAAATCTGATAATTTTTCTTAATTAATAGTCGAAAGGCAAAACGTGCGAGCTTCAAAGTCGTGATGATCAATCATTTATGTGATAGTCAAACGTAATTATTCCAATTACATACATTGTTTATATTGTGCATTCTATATGGTGGTACAATATTTTAAATAGAATAGAACCTAAATCATGCATGCAATAACAATTCTAAAGGCTGAACCTTATATAACGTAATCGCAAGTTTATTACACTCGTATTTACATGGAAACTAATAGGGCCACAATATAAACATACAAGCCACGTACGGACGGTATAATAAGTTATAAGATATAACAAAATAAGAAAAATTTTTAACACAAATACCCTTAAAATTTTTAAACCTTTCTTATAAAACATTACTTGGAAGAATGTTGAAACCTTAAATTATGTGACATATAAATTAAAGTCAACAATCTCCCTTAAAATGGGACATATCAAGGGGCGATTAAATATTTATTTATTGAACATTATTTAGTCATCGACTTTTTGACTATTAAAGTTTATATTAGAATTATTTGAAGACATAGTGTGATACCCTACTACAATATTCAAAAGTCAAATATACAATAATATAAGTTTTAAGAGTTAAAGAAATTATATTTAGTTCTTAAAATTTATAAACTATTAATTTTGAATTTCACACAGTTAAAATAAAATCAAATCAAGAAGGAAAATACTGCATCATTGCTTTTTTTTACATTAAAACTAAACTGCTGAGGCGTGGATAAATTTTTCAAACATTTATAAATGATTATCTTTTGTAATGCACATATTATCATTGAACATGTTTTTTCACATTAATCCTAAAAATTTGGATTTAGCTTTTAACTTGTACTTGTGGGACTTTTCAAACAATTTGATTACTTTTTTCCTGATTTTAATTAACTAGTAGAAGAATCATGTTTCTTATTATTAAAGTTAAAAAGTCACTTTTAAAATGACCACATGTGGCACCTTTAGATTTCCATTATTGACCAGTAAATAATTAAAGGTCTTGAAACCACACGTGAATAACATTGAGTAAAAAAGTATATTTCTATCTTATTTCATCACATATGCACTACTTGATATAAATTGATATAGAGGTATAAAATTATTGCTTCTAAGTTTCTCGCTCCATAAGCTTGCTTGCCAGCAAATAAAATCGTCACACATTTTAGCACTATGTGTCACTAAAAGTACAGCCAGTGTTAACTAAATTTCGTATGCCGTTATAAACTAAACTTGCTTGACCAATAGATCCTGATCCTTCCGTCATCGAGAGTTATTGTGGCTTGTACATTTCTATTGTATTTAACTTTGAAGTTAAAGATTACATAATCTCAGACACTGAAGAGATCACCAGCGGAAGGAAGAGGTGCCAAGCCTCCAGTAACGTCAGGCAGTCTCGACACATCAGGCAGGTTTTCTATGTGCGATTTAACTTCTGCTTTTACCGCATAGATCTTCTGCAACTTTATGTTATATTCCTGTAACAAAATCTAAATTGTAATAATGTGGGATGTGACTATAAATATGTTAAATGATGAAAATAAAAAGTTAGTAATAGGTGTTTATAAAAGGAATAGTGCCAAAATACCTCAAGCCTTGCCTCAGCCTGCTTAGCAAGATCTTTCTGTGCTTGAGCAAAATCTCTTAACATGCCAGCCACTCGTCTTCTCTTCTCTAACTCTTCGGACAGCCTAAGGTTATACTCAGCCAAGAGTTCCACAGCAGAGTTTACCACTGCACTAAGGCTTTGTGCTGATTCTTTATCTGTAATTCATCAAATAGATACATTTTGCTTTGTAATACAATTTCAATAGGGAGTTGTGACATATTGCATTTTGCATTGAAATATTATAGTCAAATATTTTAATTTTCCTTTTTGATTATAGGGTACTTTCCAAAGAAAGCTATACATAGTACAATACTTGTTATTTTAATATTTTTAATACATCTACATACAAGTCATAACATGATCACAGTGACGGGGGTACCGTCCCCAACAAATTAACTTAAACAAATTGACACGCAAGAACCAGAATATTGGGTAGTTCTTTACAACTCAGCTCAGAACTCAGAGCTTTAAATTGCAACTCTAATGCCCAGTTTCTGAAACACTGATCATTGTTGCAGTTAACTAATCAGCTGTCGGATGGCTTTTCAAATATCATTTGAGTTGCCAAAAGGTTAAACTCTCTGAATTGATCAGAATGATCAATTCAAATAGTTAAACCATTCTTTTGGCAACTCAAATGACATTTGAAAAGCCATTTGACAGCTGATTAGTTAACTTCTACAATGATCAGTGTTTCAGAAACCGTAGAGAAGAAGAAGAAAGGAAAAGAGAAGGCGTAAGTCTAGAATCTAGTCAAAAGCAATTCATTATCTTTGAACTAAAATAAACAACAAGAAATTCTAACCATTAATAGCTTATGAATTAACAAAAATTGAATAGTTAGTACAATAACATTCAAGTTCCTGCCTAAATAATAAATATATAAAATAAACAATAAAGGAGAAAATAAAAAGCAGAGGAAGGCTAAAACACCAAATAATTTACAAAAAGATACTTCCATATTAACCGAGCGTATTCCACAATAGAAGAAACATAGACAGTTTTACAAACCACAGGCCAACCATGTTATTGACAGGTAAAATAATTAACGAATGAAATATGCTTTATTGTACACCAGACAAATATTACCAGATACAATGAGATAACGGTCTCAAAAATGAGAAAATCTACTGTGCCATAAAAAGTTTAAGATGATGTCATGTACTAGGTATCTATTAGGTCAACAGATATATGAAAGATTTCAGAGTATCAGTTCACTAAATGTATAGCTATGCAAGTTTATGTATATTTCATGTAATATAATTATTTTACTTTAAAATATTAAATTTGTTAAAATGCTGCAGTTGTTTTTGCAACTTTTTACTCTTAGACTGAATAGGTCAATAAAGAGAGTTCATATAATAATGGTATAAAATACCTTTATTTTCCATTAAAATTATATAGCCTTAAACCAAATGGGTGTGCCTTTAAGCACCTAAAATACACACACCAAAGCCACATAAAATAGTTGTGTCTTATTATTATTGTTCTCATTATTACAACTAATATTGGCAGACTGCATAAAACAGTAAATGCATTTATAAACATATTATCATGAGAAATGAAACAAAAACTTAAATGTGTCAACATTTATTGGGCCAAGTATTGAAACAATAATGCTCCCAAAAACTGCCTGATGCAGTCTGTTATAGTGCTTTGTGTTACCTTCTAGTTTAGACAATAATTGCACTTCGGATACTTCCGGGGGCAATGAGGCAATTCGCTCCCTCACTGCTTCATCACTCGAGGCACTTGATTCTAATTCTAGTAATGCCTGAAAATGTAATAATTATCAAATTAAAGTTACAGTATAGAGTTAAGAAATTTGTAAACCCTTTATAATAGATATAATTTTAAAATATGAAAGAATTAGAGAAATTGTTTTCCTTAACTTTAAAAAGAGGGAATTTGTAAGGGCTGTGCCTTTTCATAACTTAAGGAAGTTAGTAAACTATATACCTTTATAGTTTTATCCTTTAATGTAAGAGTTTGAGTTTAATTTGTGATAAAGGTTAATACCTTAATTAAATCTTCAGGTTCAGGGGGATCTCCTGGAGGAGTTTTTGGACTGAGTGTCACATGTGTTTCAACATGGCCGTCAACTTCTACCTTAGTTTCACTTTTACGTCGTTCACGGTTTTCCTTATTTTCTAGCTTTGGCTTCTTTTCAGACTCTTTTACATCAACATCTAACGATTTACGTTTGCTCCCTTTAATAGGGATTGCATCATTTGGATCCACTGTAAAAGTTACAATAAAAAAAGTAAAGTAAAGTAACAGCCCACATGTCCCCCTGCAGGGCAAAAGCCTCCTCTGTATAGAAGGTATCAGAGCATAGTCCACGTGGCCACACTGCAGATTTGCAGACTTCACATACTTTCGAAATATGTTTTATTTTGTTGTTATTTTGAAAATATGGAGGTTTCCTTACAATGTTTTCCTTCACCTCTGAGCACGTGATAAATCGGCACTTAAAATTAACAATTTTATTGGTGCCGACACTGGGGATCGAACTCAGGTTGCTTGAGTATATTGAATTAAAAGCATGATAGCTCAAGTTACAATAATATTACATTAATTACAATAAGCTTTAGAATATGCCATGCAAGTTCAAACTATTAACCATTATTTTTAATAAAATCCTTAAATATGGCAAGCAATACAAAAACCAAGATGATAGACAGTTTTCACAACACTAAATCATTATCAAATTCTATTAATCAAGAGTAAATTTGTTACCAATTCCGAAGTTATACTTACTGGCTTCTTTAAATTCTTGTATTTTCTGGGCATCATACACTCCTCTTTCTTGCCAAATAGATAATATTCGGTGTAATGAATGCTTAGTTTTTGCATTTATGCCAGTCTTAGCCATATGTTGAAATGATTCTATCAAAACTTCACCAAACTCTTTACCATACTCTGGGCCTTTCTTTTTACTATTTTGTATCACATCATTAGCCAGGTACATAAAAGTGAGTTGTTTGCTATCTTTTGCTAAAATATAGTGAATATAGTGACAGTAAAATATAACAATGTGAAAGGTTTTGTCGATCTATAAACATATTAAATAGTTATTTTTATATCAATAGTCCTAGCAGTCTCCTATTTTTTAAAAACAAAAGCAATTTTATTTCTTATAAGGTTATTTCTCATATTTTTGCAATAATAGTTCTTATTTTAGCTTTTGCTGTTATGAGAAATATCTTATTGTATTCAATATTATCTTACATTATAGTTTACACAGTAATAGAAAAGGTTACCTTTTAACAATTCTTTAAACCAAGTTTTTACTACGGCAGCGTGATGTTTTCGATGGTGTATTAACCATAATGATAATGTTTGAATGCTCTGTTGGCTTGAATTCAAATCTTGTAACTTACGTATTAATGCATTCTCCGTAAAACCCGCCATGTCGCAACTAAAACTAATTTTATCACAACAAACGACAACCACCGCGAAATAGTTCGGTCTTTGACAGTTAGCCGTTTTTTTTAAACTGTCATAAATATTATAGGCAAAGACTATTAAAGTCTTAAGGTATCATTTTTAATTTAAATTGGGAAAGATTTAAGTATAGCATTAAATTTTGTATTAGCATACAAAAATATATCTTCAAGAGGAGAATCAGAGGTATCAGATATTCAAATCGCCGATGAAGATAGGAAGGAGCTAAAGATTCGATAGTAGGAAATAAAGGAAGGATAAGACATGTAAGACTCGACATCTACGGATAAGAAGCCACTGTAGTTGTACCCTGTAATCAGAAACGTGACGCAGAGCAAAAACGAATCGAATGCACAATTTTTGTAGACGTTCTAGCTTTTTCAGTAATTCTTCCGTAGCAACCAAGGGGCAGAGGAAGTGCATGAGCTAAAGTGACTTTGTTTTAATAGGAAGAACTTCACTTTTTCACTTACTTCACTTTTTTCGTTTCACTTCGTTTTTTTTGGGTTCACGACTAGAAATTATGGAACCCACGTTGTAGAGAATTAGCATCCTTGGCATTACAGGGTTTATCATAATCTATGATTGGCTTCATATTCGTCCGCTTTTTGTTGAGTGTGGATAATTTAGCTTCAGACATTTACTCGATTTATTTTATTTATCGTCTGTGGTAAGACAAAAAATATTAATTGTATTGAGTTGACTTATTATGGGATATATTACGGCCGTAGCAAGATTTAAATACCGGACAGGTTCAAAAAAATTCAACAACAAAAATGTACCTAGACATAAGGTAACGATGGTAGAGCCACGCAGCACACTCGGCTGTTGTACAAATGGGCAGGCTCGTCCGGGTAAGTACCACGACCTCGCAGAAGACCGGCGTAAAGTGGAAGTATGACAAATACTTTCGCGTTTCGTCTGGTGAGTGAGGTAGCCGAAGCCCAATTTCCAAAAAGGTTGACAACGCATCTGCAAACCCTCGGGTGTAGCAGATGTCTATGGGCGGCGGTATTTACTTACCATCAGGTGAACCGTCTGCTCGTTTGGCAACTTTTAACATAAAAAAAGGTAAAGTATATACTTTACCTTTTTATATGTTCTTATATTTATATAAATATAAGACTAACTTAAGAAAAAACTCGCACATATTTTGATTATTGATATTATCTATTTGATTAAATCCGTTCATGTGTCTAAGAAATAGACAATATAATTCAAAAATGTATTTATTACTATATCGACGACGGAGGGTAACGCATTGGTTTTGTCCATGTACAAAATGTACACGATACAGGAGGATTTCCCTATGAAATTTGGCTGGATTGGCCGCATTGTCTTCACCTACATAACTTACTAAATTACTTAGCTCTTAGTTTTAAGACATTGGTAACAAAATTATTATAAATGTATAAATGGCTAAAAAAATCTAGTTTTAATTTATATTTATTTCGCTTATTTCATTTTATTAATGATATTTGAACGTGACTTACGGAAAATAATATATTTTTAGTTATATGTTTTAGATACAACGCTAAATAACAGTTTCTTTAGGAAATCTGAAATCTGAATAAGCGACGGGTGCACAACAAGGTGTTTTAATACATTTTACAAACTACTAAATGTTTATCATTGCCTATATCTTCCTCACGAATTTAAGTTGCAAAAAGTAAAGTGTTTGTATAAAATCGTAATTTACATTCGGCTATTGAAATAATTTCAGTGAAGCATCCAAATCAGAAGTTATATTGAAAACTAGTGTTGAAATAAAATGGGTAAGATTCTTAATAATTTTATTTTATGGAGATTTCTTACGATATTATCATACATGTCTTTCAGATTCTTCCAAGGTCTGTTACCATATACTAACTGTACCGTTAAGATAATAATAAATTGTATAATTAAATAACTGTACAGTAAAGTAGGTACAGTTACAGTATTTAAAAAATGAGAGTAACTAGGACTCGCGCTCTCAGGTTTTCTTAAAAAGTTGATGACTTGACAACTGTAACGTAACAATGTTCGAATGTTTGGATGCCATTACCTGCATTATTATATTTTTTCGATCTTGATTACACCTTTAATTGATCAGTATCAGTATTTTTGTACTAGGTAATAATTGGTGTAATTATAACACAAAATAAAGCATTTGATGCCCTTGACCCTGTGGTCAAGGGCATCAAATGTTCTGTAACCACGTTACCTATTAAAGATTCGCGAATAAACTAATTTTAGTTTAAGGACTGGTCCAACTTGAATGCGGTTTTGAAGTTTGCACTCCGACCCGATATTGTAAAATAGTTTTTATTCTTTTCGCTATTAGGTTCACTGATGAGTCTTAGCAGTGGATTACTGTCATCGTACACTCGATCTTTCTCCGGTGTTTTACACGCCTGCGCTAGCGCAGTCCGCCTCAGTATAGTTTTAAAAGGCCGTACAGTACGCGCCGTTCCTTAGCGGCCTTTCCATTCGCGCGAAAATGAAATCGAGCTTCTTAATTTGAACGATCGATTTGCTGGAATTTATTTTATCAGCGATTGAGTTTAAAAAAATTACACTATATATTTTTGCCCAAACAAAAATATTTGTGATTAAAATGCATTTTTTTGGTTTTAGTAACGCCCCTAGTGTATTTTTAATTTCATTAACTTTATTGGTCAGTGCTCAAAGACCGACTAACAATAACAACAGGGACCTTGGTGAGTATTATTATTTTTTTAATATTATGAAAAAAAATCATACCATCTATGTATATTTTAAATTTAAAATGTCATTTATTTTTGATAACTCAACTCGTATTTATAAGCTCCTTAATGTATTAAATTAAAAAAGTGGGATAATCTTCGCGCAATCCATTTCGTTGCAGCAATCAATGGACTGAATTTGTTGATTATGGTAATGTGAATTTATATTTAAAAGTATAATATGATTATGAATTCTCGCATATCATGTCGTAAATTGACATGGATTCATCTTATTGTGGAGTCAAGTTATATGTAAGATTTTGAATATGAACTAAAATGTATTATTTTTAAATAATATTGCCAAATAGAGAATATGAAGAAAATGCAACGCACTGTCATAAAAAAGTGCTTACAAATTATTCTTGTTATGCAAATTATTCTTTATAAATTATTGCTTTAATTTTATTTTACAATGATAAAATTTTATTTATTAAATTTTATTTATTATATTAATTTGCTTTACTTTTAAACTGTTTATCTCCTGTGCATCGTAAGCAAGTGTTTAATGATTTGATATCGAGTCGGAACTCCTTTCATTGCTTACATAACGATTGGCCGTGATTATGCATAAGAAGGTTCTTATATTATATAGTGTTTTGGATCCGTAGACTACGATACCACTTTTACTTTTGTGACACAACTTCGAGTGAGATTTCTCTCACCGATTCATATTAATGACGGGCTTTAAACATTCAAGACGACATATCGCCTGCGACAATTATCTATGAAGATATCATTGTAATAGAGTTTTTGGGTTTTTGTTGTTTTTTAAACGACATCAGTTCTGACCTTAATGTATACCTGACCATAATATTATAAATATGCAGTAAGTAATTTGTATTGAATCGATTCATTTAATTTTGATCGATATTTGCTTAGCAGTTACATCGACTCAGTTTGTAGGATTTTGTTTATTAAAAAAATATTTTTATGTATTAGGTATGTATGCATGATATGCTGTGGTAGCTAGTGGCCGGGTGCTCGCTTTTAATGCAATGACGTGCTCAAGCCACCTGAGTAAAATTCCGGTGCCGGCACTATTTATGGCTTGCACAATCCATTAAAGAAAACAATGCGAGGAAACCTGCATTTTTTAACAATGATAAAATAAAATATTTCGATTATATATGAAGTTTGCCCATCCGCTGTAGAGTCGTATACGGACTACAAATTTCCTCTGCATATACAGTCTTTTACTTTACTAAGCAATAGAAAAAGTCAACAAAAGAACTTCACAAATGAATGATTGAGTACTAAATGTGATGTTTGAATTAAAAACATTAATGACTTTCTATTATAGCGGTATGAGTATAGATAGCTTATTTGCTGTAGGTAGTATGTTACATTTTTTTTGTTTGCAAAAAATCAGAAAATTAAACACCGCGACTCGAAAACGGGTTTGAACCTGTTACCATGGATTGCAATTGTTCTGACTAGACCTGTATACCCATAACGCACTTGAGAATGATATAGCCGGTTCAATCAAGTCTCTAATTAATATCTTTCGGTGTGAGATATAGCTTTGTACACTTTCAAGGAGATAACCCAATTTAGAATTGAGTTACGTATTAAATGAAATATTCACAGTAATTATGCTTTAATTGTTACACATATGAATTTAGATTTCAGCTCTATTTCTGATCGAAAATTATGGTGTGTGGTCTGATTTTATAGAAATTAAAAAAAAAACGTAACTTCGCTGATAGAGAACTAATATGTGTTGCGGCAATGCTGATCCTTTGCAGATTCGAAAATAAATACTCAAATTGTAATGTTCATATCTCATTTACAAATCTTACAGTATGATGCTGTTTTACCCATAGATAAACATAAAGATACAATCTCCTACGTTTTTATATTTCATAGAGAAGCCAGTAAGAGGTAGTGATGACTTTTCGGTTTGTATTGATCACAAATTTGTGATGCGATAAAGAGATGTTGCTGGTAAGTAACCTGATAAAAGTAAAATTATTGGTGCATGTCACAGGGATTTGAATCCGATACCTTAGATTGCAAGTCCGACGTCTTAGCCACAAAGCCATCGGTACCACATTTTATGGACACGTAATATGTCCTCAAATTTTACTAAGAAATGAATAAACAATAACTATGAATAAGCTTTCACAACTATTTATTACGCAGTTTGTTAGACTTATTGATTTGTTCTATGACGCGACAAAAGAAAAACAGATTAAGAGATAACGTAGATAAGAAATATTATAT